ACTGCACAGATGAAAATACAGATGCTTTGAAGGAACACATAAATTCAGACATGTCAATCAGTCCTGACTTCAAGAAAGGAAAAGCACACACCTACACAATAACATTGCTAAACATGGTCTGAAGCAAGGTAGAATCCATTTTGTCGGTGTAGCAGAAAAAGTACTGGACTTGTGGTCAGGAGAGACCTAACCCACCTTTGGCACTTAATATGTGATCATGGGTGAGTAACTTAACCCTTCTGAGACTCTATTTCTACATTTCTAAAGTGAGGGTAATAGCACATATAGTACCTACTATATGTCAGGATCCAATGAGATAATGTGTGTAAAGTGATTTGTAAATTTTAATGCATAATATGTGAGCTTTAATGATTATCTCATTCTTATCTTTTTTGATGGAGTTCAGACAGGAATGGACCTATGACAAGTGTCTATCCTGTTTTTCTTATACATTAAATTTTCTGTGAACTATTGCACCGGTGGAAAAAAAAAGCTGTTTCTTATAATTTTGCAAAAGTATTAGGTTAGAACTTGTCTCCAGTAGGCTCAATGAAAGCCTCTTTGGGACAGTTCCAGAAGCAAATGAGATTATGGGGATGATATGAACTTAATACTGTTCCCACATAATTTTGATTTCTTCTGCTAATCTTTTTATTCCACATACCCTGGTGGTTATGAGTATTTGGTATAGCAGTATCTATTTAAAATATAGTTCTTAAATTTTTAAGACTTAGGGTTGTGCCCAAGCAATTGTGGACTGCCAGTGGTAAGTCTGGTTCCAGTACAATTTACTTGGGGAATTTTCAAAGACATTTTGAGATCTCTATTTGCAGCATAGAAATTTGTTGTCTGGCATTTTATGAGATAGAGAGATTCTAGTATGTAATCCCAATCAATAGTTCTTGATACAGTAAGCACTAAGTTTGTATGGCTAGCAGCGATTTTGTTGTAAAACTACCACTTTTTCTTTGTATAATCTCCATTGATCATTAAGTTCAGATTCCTTAAGCACAACTCATCTGTAATTTCTCGTAGTTATGCTCTGGTCCTTCACTGCCATCATAAGCTCCTCTACCTCTTTTTAACAGCAAATTATATGACTCAATCATTTGTTTGATGCGTCTTTGTCCAGATATTTTTGGTTGAATTTATGTGGATGTCACCAACGGAGGACCTTTTGATTCCACACTTGGATTTTACCCTTCAAAGTAACTACTTTCTGGCATAAACATATCTTCAGGTTTTACTATTGCTTGGTAAAGTATTACCTATTTGGTACAAAAGTACTTCTTTTATCATGTGCTATAAAAATATTTGCCAACCATCATCCTGCTTTTTGTCGAGGAAGTGTTAATTTTTCCAAAACTGCCTTAGAATGGGACAGCTAGGTGGCACAGTGGATAAAGCACCAGCCCTAGATTCAGAAGGACCTCAGTTCAAATCCGGCCTCAGACACATAACACTTACTAGCTGTGTGACCCTGGGCGAGTCACTTAACCCTATTGCCTAGCCCCCCAAAAAAAAACTGCCTTAGAGTGACGGGCTCTGTGTTTTGTTCATATTTCAAGTTGTTTTGTTGGGTTACTTTATAAATCTATCATGGCCTGCTTTGTGCATGTTAAGACTGCTAGTATAGAGATGTTAATTGCTTTGAATATGTTCTTCTTGCTTTGATTTCAGGATACCAATAAGTTTCTTGACATATATGACCTTGGCATCTTTGTTTGACATGTATTGTCTAGAGGAACACAAGGTAGTTTTAAGTATCACCTCCTTCTGTTAGTTCAACTGGACCTCCAGATTTGAGCTTCAGTCTTCAGTCTCTATCTTTTCTGGACTTGTCAAGTCTAATTGACATTTTTATATTATTGAATAAAGATTCCAGAAGATGGAGAGGCTCTTTAATATGTTTGGGGTGGGAAGCCATATAAACTTGATATCACTGATAACACATCAAGGATTTTATTATTATTTTTATTGTTTTTATGTCATTTAATTTCAATAGATTTATTAAGTGCCTACAATGTGGAAGACACTGTGCCAAGAATACACCTTGTGTAGATTCTAGTCTCCTAGAGGACAGAGACTCTCTCATGCATTTCTTTTGCATTCCTCTCAGCACCAAGTACAGTGCTAGGAACATAGTAAGTACCCTGTCTTTGCTTTTTTTTTTTAATGAGTAAATAAAGACTTCAGATAATAAGGAATCTGAGAGGGACAGACTTGACAATCTTTCCTCATCTCCCAGCTCTAACAGTCTAGGATTTACAACTCATTGATCCTAAGATACCTTAAGATGACAGGAGGTGGGAAGATGTTGAGTTAATTTAGTGAAGACAGGACTGATTTGGAAATTAACAAAGTGCAATAGGATGGAGGAGGAGGTGGTTGTCCTGAAGAGGTGACACGATTGTGAAAAACTCAGGTGGGAGCTGAAATTAGACATGCAAAGGGAAATAGAGCATAGTCTTAGCCAAATACTGCAGGAAATCCATTTCAAAATCATCTCAGAATTGAAGAGACAGGCAGAGCATAGGGACAGAATGACATTTGGTTTCCCATCACACACCCACACCTGCTAACCAACACACAGCTTGTAGATCTAATTTTAGGCTTAACAGCCTTGACAGTTTTTCTCTTTAAAAAAAAGTTCATATTTCGTCTTCTGGTCCCCATAAGTGACTAGTCATTACTATCACAACTCCTGAGGGGGAGATTAAAAAACAAATGAATGTATTTCTTTACCTGACTTCTCTCCCTCAATTACCTACTTGTTTCAAGATGTCTGGTAAAATGTCTTCCTGAAACCATATCAAAAGCTAAATGTCCATGAGATCCCTGGAACCCAAATACTACTTTTATTCCCTTACTTTTCTGCTTAAGAAATCTTAAATAACTTCCCATTGCCTAAAGGGAAAAAAATCAAATTCCTCAGCCAGTCACTAACCTACCTAACATTCCAACCTTACTTCCTACTACATGTCTACATAAATTATCTTCCCCAGAAAACCTGGTCCACCTATGCCTTTTTCATTCATTCTAATCAATAAATTGGCTTATTGACTGCAGAACAGATTCTCTTCTGTCCCCTACTTGAATACTCTCCCTACTCCTTTCTAGCTACAAAGTCCTACCTAGCCTTCAAAGCCCAGTTTCCACCTCCTCCACAGCCCACCAGGATTTAGCTCCCACCTCCACTGAATTTCTATTGCACCCATACTCTGTACCATAATTATATATTACTTAAAATCATATTTGTATTTTTAGTTAGCTTCCTTCACATACCCATCTTATTTTCCCTAATCAATTTTAAATTCTTTGAGGACAAGGGCCATACTTTATACCTCTATATATGACATGTAGGTGCTAGCATGAAGAAAATAACAAACTCTTGAAAACCAATAACAAGAGTCACCAAGAAGCAAACAAACCCAAGAAATTCTAAGTTAGGATGTCTAGTTTATAATACAGATCATTGATCATATAAACTTGAAGATAAAAATCTGTTTTTATGCCTCAGAAAGAAAGTTAAATGTTACATTCTGACCCATACTCCCCCTGCAGCCTTTTGAAGGCAAAACATTCCCTGTTTTAAACAGTTGGCACCTTCCCAAATCACCTCTAGAAGCCCAACGATAGATAGACTAAGAAGTAATCTTTTCAGAAAAAGACCATCAAACCCAATCTAAAAGGTTTTAGGGGAAACATTAGAAACTTGATCAGGGAATCACAGAATGTCAGAATTGAAAGGGACCCAAAGGTTACATAATCTGATCTCTGCAATTTCTAGGAGGGAATGAAGAGAATGGTAGTGACCTGTCCATAGTCAGACAATTAGTTAATGGCCACATCAAAACTCAGGTGGCCTGACCACCAGTCTTTTATATATTTCAATAAGTCATGCTAAAGCTAATTGCATTTTAATAGAAAAAAAAGAAATCCTAGAGCTGAAGGCAAAGGGAAAAATAAAGTGCCAGTAAAATAATATCTTTAAAGGGCTTTGGGGAGATTTCAAAACAAAAACATGAAAGAATAAGGTTTCCAAAAAGTTATTTCCCTGGGATTTCCAGGCCATGGTGTCAAGATTCATTTCATTTAGGAAAGCTCATCCAACAGGAAAAGGACCTGAGAAATATTCGGTTAAAATGAAATTAGATTCCTGTCTAAAATAGAACTTTTCTACATAAAATTAGAAAATCTAAACTGCTACGCTTTTCATGCTACCATGTAGTAAGAAAAACTTTATTTCATACATGCAGATGGTACTCTTATCCCCAGTCAGCTGTTTCACCAAATGGGAAACATTTGGCCCACCTGAGAGTGTGGATTGCTCAGAGCAAACTTGTCCTCACTACCGAGGAAATCATTTAACGTGCATCCTCTTTTGGCAGTGTGTGAGCAATAGCATCTTCTTAGAAGGGTGATTGCAAAGCACCTAGTCGCTTCTTATCATTTCCTCTTCATATGTACTTCAACAGAGCGAATCATCAGGCGCTATGGCATAAGTGAGATGGCATCATGGTAGCGTGGATAAAGAGCCCAGCCTCAGCAACCAGAGTACCTGCTTTCAAATCCTGTTCCTAAAGCATACTGGCTCTATGACCATGGCTAGGTCACTTAACCTTTTGGTGACCCCAGGCAACTCCACAAGACGACAAACTGCATAGCAATTGCCAATCTACAGGGGTTGAGGAACTTTTGCTCCTGAAGAATGCCCATATACCAGTGAAATCACAGGTCCAGATCATGACGTAAGTAGCTCTAATGGACAGACAATAAATTAACCAGGCTAGTAGAAGCTTTTTTAAAGCCCTTCTTTAAGGAAATCTTAAGAGGCAATTTCAAAAGGGACTAATATTACAACATTCTTGGGAGCAAAAGGTATGAATCGAAACAATATTATATGCATAAAATTTAAAAGAGAGAAAGATAGCAAGAGAAAGAAAGAGAGAAAAGAGGGAGGAAGGAGGGTTGGTAGTAAAGGATAGAGGGAATCTTACCAATTTGGATTTTCCAAGCTTTCCCTGAAGACAGATTCTTCATTCATGGATGCATATTGGGTCCACGTTAAGCAGTGACTTCTTATAGCCATATTTCTTTCCTGAGGATTGAGCCATGATTCCTCTTCCAACTGGATATTTGGCACTTTTAAAATGCTCAGCTGTCCAACAAAGGAATGGCAACTTCTTATTGTTGCAAGAAAGCTACATGAAAAGGAACTAAGGAAGTACTTTCAGTCTTGGATAATTATGAGGCCAAATGATTATTAAGCAGAGATGACACATCTCACCAACTGCTGCAAGCCCTTGATAATCAAATGTACTTTGACCTTAATAAATGCTAGTGAGGACATGCAGATGGCCCAAGATTTATGCAAGCCATATAGTCCCCTGGCCAGATTTCCCTAACCACTAAACACAAAGTAAATTATCAGCCTATTTCATGTTTCAGCTCTAGCTCGGTTATGGCCCTCTTAAATTGATGGATTCTAATAGGACCCACTTACAGACCATCACATGCAAGATAATATCAGGTAAAATATTTTCTTCATTTTAGTCTCTGCCCAATACCTGGAAATTTATGCTTTCGTAAGTGGAGGAGATGTGCAAAAATACAAGAAGCAGAAATGTACAAGTCAGAAGTACCTTAAATAATTTAGAATTTCAGATGTGTGATAAAGTCGAATGCATTTTTGAATAATAGATTCAATATGCATATTTGGGGCAATGGTGGCATGCACTGTGTATAGAAATCATCCCTATCATACTCTCTGTATACAATGCAAAACATTTTACCATCTCATATATAGCTCATTGCTACTGTGAGATATAGGCTCTCCTTTCACTAAAGGTCATCTTTAATCTTTAACATGATCTTGAATCTTCCATAAGTGAAATGGCAGAAACCACTGTTTTCCCACCCACTTATGCAAGACAGCAATTCAATTTCAAATCTAACCATTTAGGGAGCAAAGCTGGGGTTTGAATCACACACAATCAATTCAAGTTTCAAATATCTATCAGAATGCCCGAATGCTCTAATTCCTGGTTCTTTAAATACCCACCAACAACTGTGCTCCTTATGAGCCAAGCAATGTGGAGGGAAAGTAGAACTTTTCACTTACCTTCTTCCAAAAAAGCATCAGCAGTGTGGCTTTAAGGGGTTTCAAAGAGAAAAAACAATTTTGCTATCATAAACACTTTTTCTGTAACATAATTACTCTATAGAAACATGAGTACAAAAAAGATTTAAAGGAGATCTCCAAGAAGTAGGGTACCATCTTAAATACTCCTTTTGTCATCTCTGACCATGAGTTTAAAAAGGAAGTTTATCATCCTTCCTAAAAGGTCAGACTAAATCTGTATGACTTTTACACGTCAGATCATTTTTATATAAAAAGAATCACTTTTACCCTTTCAGGAAAAAATGTAAAATCCAACTCACTCGTGCAATATGTTTCTCATTTCTTTTAAGACTAATTTAGACCATCTCTGTATCTCCATTAGAGACAAAAAAAAGAGGAAGTAACTTGAAACTGAAGGAATTGGAGTTAAACTTTTTTTCAATGCCCTACTATTAGAAATTATTTTTGTTGTTCAGTCATGTCTGACTTAGTGACCCCATTTAGAGTTTTCTTGGCAAAGATACTGGAGTGGTTTGCCATTTCCTTCTCAAGCTCATTTTATAGATGAGGAAACTGAGACAAACAGGGTTAAGTGACTTGCTCAGGGTCACACAGCTAATAAGTGTCTGAGGCCAGATTTGAACTCAGGAAGATGAGTCTTCCTGACTCCAGACCCAACACTCTATCCACTGTGCCCCCTTGCAGCTCATGCCAGCCAGATGCTAGAACTTGGGAGGTTAATCAGGCTTCTTCCATATGAAAAAATTTATGTACTGGAGAAACTCCCATTCTTCTGAATAGTTTAAGAACAACTTTGCCTGAAGGCAAAGGAAATAGGCCTTATGAATTTTTGCACTGATGCCTTTACCACTATATTTTTATGATTTAGCACTAGTCTAGGGTTTAAAACCAGGGTTCTATGTCCAATTTGGGGGTTTTTTTGGGGGGGAGTGGGTGGGGAATGCCAATCAGGGTTAAGTGATTTGCCCAAGGTCACACAGCTAGTAAGTGTGTAAGGTTACATTTGAACTCAGATCCTTTTGACTCCAGGGCCAGTGCTCTAACTACTGCACCAACTAGTTGCTGCCAGCTTCCAGTTTTAACCTTAACTCATGGTATACCCTCAGTAAGGTTAGAGACATTGTCAGGTCTCAGTTTCCTCACATGATTGGTCTGGACTAGATAACCTCTAAATTCCCTTCCTACAACTCTATGACTAAGTGTAGCACAATGGGGGATGAAGAACTAATGCAATTCTAAGTAAGGTTAAATTTCATTTACCTTTCTTAAAATTTCTGGAATCACATTCTGACAGATTGCAATCCTCTTTCTGTAGATGATCCCTGTTGAGACATCTAAAAACAATAATATAACAATAATAAGAATAGCTAGTATCTGTAGAGTGCTTTAAGGTTTGCAAAGTGCTTTACAGATATTACTCATTTGATCATCACAGCAACCCTGGGAGGTAGGTGTTATTATTATCATCATCCCCATTTTATACATGAGGAAACTGATAACAGACAAAAGTTAAATGATTTGCCAAGGGTCATATAGCTAGTGTCTGAGGATAAATTTGAATTCAGGTCTTCCTGACTCCAGGTCCAGAACTCTATCCCTTGTGCCACCTAGCTCTGTGTTTGTGTGTGTGTGTATGTGTGTGCATGTGTGCGTAGAGATTTTAATTAAGATGGGAAAGTAGTATTTTTATCTTTCACATCAATTTGATAAGCTCTCAGTTATCTTTGTGTGACTGTTCCACGGCAAATTTTTAATCCCAGACCTGCTTTCCCTACTCATATTTCAAGGCCACCACCTTTCAATTAGTCCATTTCAGGCAAATGGCAGCCACTATGGTATAGTGAAAATGGCATTGGATTTGGAGTGAGGAGACCTGAATTCAAGTTCTACCTCTGCTGTGTGACTGTAGATACATCACTTCAATTCTCAGTTACCCAGGCAACTCTACAAGACCAAATGTTGCAAAGCAGAAGCCAATTTGTATTGGTAGTTCTCTATGCCAATAAAGTCACAGGCTTGATCTTCCCCCTCCCCCAAGAAAAAAGAGGACAATGACACTTACACTAGCTACTTCATAGGGTTGTAATAAACTATAGATATGTAGGTTATCATTATTATCATTAATGTATCACAAAGCTAAAACAAAAAGGGGGAAAGAATTTTTTACTATCTACTGTGCCATTGTTTTCATTGTTGGCACACATGACAACATGTAACTAAGATAATTAAATGCAAACACTAAGAATAAGAATAGTATGAGTAATATTGAGAGAGCCACACATTGGGAATTGGGAGATACTGATCAGTGAGATAATATTGTCTCTATTATCTAAATTATCTACCTCTATTATTCAGATATTAGCCAGTGAGACTGGAATCCAGACTCTGTCACTACCTAGCCAGTTGACCTCAGGCAGACACAAACTATATCTGGTCACTGAGATCAAAGTTGGTAAGAGCAGAACAGAAAATTATTCATCTACTGTCACCAGAAGAAAAAGTTAATCAAGAACGTTAACTGTCCGAGGTTGTTGATTGTTTTGATGTCAAAAATCCATTAGACCACAAATCCATCTCTTGTGCCTAATCTCTCTTTTAAAAGAAAGATAACAACCAGCAGTGACTTCATAACAAGCATGCCTGCAGCTCACCTGTTCGTTCTTCCACAATTCTCACAGCAATCACATTTTTATCCATGGAGTTAGGGTACTAAGGGAAAGAACACAAACAGTTATTGGTTACTAAAATAGACATTTCTGTTTAAAGAATCACTAAGTATTTTCTAAGCAATCTTTAATTAAAACCAGTTTTCAGTCTAATGTTTTAGATTTGCTTTCCAGATAAAGGAATGAAGATACTCAGTTTAAAAAAAAATAACTTGCTCATTTCTTCCTGTGATAACACTTATTTTTATTACAAAATAACCATGGTTTCCACATGGGGGATATTTATTCAGAAATCATTTGCTGATAGTTACCTTTCTCAAAGAGATGATAATCCCTTCCCCCACAAAAAAAAAATTAGAGAACAGAGCCACTTCCAACAAATGGACAGGGTCCACTGTTGATAGATTCAGAGAGAAATCACAAGCCTACTATGTGTCAGGCACTGTGCTAAGTGCTTTGCAAATATCATCTCATGTAATTCTCACAAGACTGCAAAGTGGATGCTATCATTAACCCAGTTTTACCTCTGAGGAAGCTAGAGTTAACAGAGACTGAATGACTTGTATAAGGTTCCACAGCAAGTAAGTCTCTAAGGTCAAATTTGAACTCAAGTCTCCCTGACAGTGGGCCTAATGCTCTATTCACCATGCCACCTAGATGCTATATTTTATATATTAGGGGTGTGTATGTGTGTGTGTGTGTGTGTGTGTGTGTGTGTGTATGGGAATTTCTGTGTTCTTTTATCTCTTTGGTGTATAGGCCTAGCAGTGATTTTGTTGCAACCACTGCATTTTCCAGATGAAAGTGCTGAGGCACAGAAAGGTTAAGTGAATTTCCAATGATGATACAACTAAGAAGTGTCTAAGGAAGGATGCAAATCCAGGTCTTTCTAACTCCAAGTTCATCATTCTGTGTGCTACATGAGACTGCCTTTCACATAGCTCTCTTCCTGGTCCAGTCTTTCATGGCAGCTAATCCAATCTCCAGGAGCTCCTCTGCTCACCCCTCTTGGCCAGGCTCAGCAATATTTTCTTTTACCCTCCTGTGGATAGGGGGTAACCTGGGTCTCAAGTGACTGCACAAAGTGAAGAATGGGCCCTGGTTAATGAACCAATCCTAGGACAAATCACTGATCCCAGTCTCACCCTGGTTAGCCCTCCCATACTCCCATCTTGAAAAGTTGTTTCTAGACAAATTAAAAGGGACTAGAAGAACTATACTCTCACATCCCACCCCTACCATTTCCCCTGTTTATGTATTGTGTCTTCAAAGCTTGTTGCTCATAAAGCGTGGTCATCTATTTTATCACTTTTTTTAAAAAATAGCATTAGAGGGGTAGCTATGTGGTGCAGTGGATAGAGCACCCGCCCTGGAGTCAGGAGGACTTGAGTTCAAATCCGGCCTCAGACACTTGACATTTACTAGCTGTGTGACCCTGGGCAAGTCACTGAAACCCATTGCCCAGGCCAAAAAAAAAATAGTATTAGAGAAGATCTAAGTTTGAATCCTGTACGACCTATATGACCCAGGACAAGTCACTTAACCTTTCTGTGTCTGTTTGCTCATCCTTTACTGACCAAGTTGCATGACCTTGAGCAACCAATCAACTATTGTTAAGGGCTACAGTGTGCCAGGCACTGTGCTATGGGACTGGCAACAAGTACAAAGGATAAAACAGTTATGATTCATAAGGAGCTTACATCTTAACTGGGAAATTAAGAGATACATATAAACAGCAGAAATATAAAGCAAATAAATATAAAGCAAATAAATATAAATATATACAGAGTAGCTAATATAAGGTAATTTTGGGAACAGAGCACTACCAGTCGGGAATCAGGAAAAGTTTTGTGTAGAAGATACCAAACGAGATAATATTTGTAAAAAAAAAATGTTTTTAACACAATGCCTGACACACAGTACTCACTATATGTGTGATTGTTCCCTTCCCTTCCCTTTCTCCCTCCTTTCCCCACTCGAAGATGGTACTTGAACAGCATCTTAAAGGAAGAGAGAGACGGCGAGATAGCTTCTAAACATAAAGGACAACAGTCGCTTCCCTCTCTGGGCCTCAGTTTCCTCATTTGTAAATTGAGTGACCTGAACTCCCTCGATCACTAAGATCTTTCCAGTTTTGTCATTCTATGTTCTTAGATCTCTTCCAAGTCTAAAATTCTATGTTCCCATCTAGCTTAAATATTCTAAAACTATAAAATCTAACAATCTATGTCATAACAATGCTATTCAGAAAGTCAGCATTCTCTGACACAATGAAAAAGTTTTGATTGTATCATCCCACATTGAGAACGACAATTATTTTAGATGCACCATTCTGAAATTTGTTCGATTCCTCTGAAGAAAATGTGAGGGGAAAGAAAAAAAATAAATAAATTGTTATTAGAAGATAAACAGGGATAATTAATGGTCTATGGTCCATAGAATTTCCATTAAAATTTGTGATGTTAGCATACATATGAAGAGTGGATATTACAAACACATTGTTTAAAAAAAAGGATTATTAGACTACAAAGCAATAAGAGAAGCAAGAAAGGTAATCTATCACTCAAGAAGCATGGCAATAAAGTTATTATCTGAAGCACCTTTCAAATTCTGATCATTTCTCTGGATTACCCATCAGTGAAATTCTAGCACAGAAGAGCAACCCAAACATTTGACTGTATTTGGTTGGTACTTACTAAAACTTCAGATTAATTTAAGAACCAGAGGAAATCCTGAAATTACACTTCATTATACACTCAGGTCTCATGCATAACATGATGCTTTGAAATAACAAAATTAAAATCAGAATTTCATTACCACACAACACTGTGAAACACATGCCCTAGTCCAATCATTGGCAGAGATTCAAGTCATTTTGCTACATAAATATTTTCAAAAAGCCAACTATATTAATTGGAAACGAAACAATTTTCCACACAATAAAGTAAAAAATAAAATTATTCAGGTTCATTTTAATGTATTCACCAGTAGCTAAATAAAACGATGTGTCTTTCATTCTACGGTATTTTTGAAAGTTAGACATTATTGCTTTGAGTCTACTCCCAAAATTGCATGAAATGATCTGTTGCCATCTTGTGGTAACTTGAATATTTGAACGTTACCTAGATTAAGGGAAATTTATCTGAAAGCTGATAATGAAAGAAAAAACATGGGAATGATGTGCATATGTACAGGCATAAATATATGTGGCCATTTTACAAAGACATTCTTTCTATTACCTAACATCTACCAAGGATCAGTAATTTAGTAGTTGCCTGGATTGGCATGGCTTCCTATTAAATTAAGGTTCTCAAAGGGTTGCTTTTTGTTTGCTTAAGCAGAATTTGTAGATTTTTAAGTAGATGTTTAAGTAGATTTTTTTTCTAGATATTTAAATAAAATTGTTAGATTCAAGAAACATATGTTAATGTATGAAAGTATACTGTATACATATATATATATATATATAACTGTGTAAGAGCACAGTGTACCACATGTAACAATATATTAAAAGTAGAAAATCTTTTTTTCCATAAATGTTATAATGTAACAAATTATGGGGGTTGATATTTTTACTTATTTAATGTAAATAAGAATGAAAGGTCAACAAATTACACTGTATATGTGTGAATAGACAAGTATAACAAATTTAGAGAAAAGTATATAATGTCATGGTTCTTTAAATGGAGTGAGCACCTGATAAATATCAATAAGCTTATATCAGATATAACAAATTTTTGAAAGATTATATTCAATTCAGTAATGAAGATACAAAAACAGAAATGAAAAGCATACATGGAAGACCTGCCTACAATCTCACCTAACTATATTCTACTCCCAACAACTTTGCAACACTTTGCATCTGGTCATTCCTCTGTCAAAAATCCTCCTATGATTTCAGAAAAACCTGGAAAGACTTAACATAAACTGATGCTGACTGAAATGAGCAGAACCAGGAGAACATTATACACAGTAACAGCAACATTGTGCAATGACAAACTTTCATAGACTTAGCTCTTCTCAGCAATACAATGATCCAAGACAATTCCAAAAGACTCATGATAGAAAATGCTATCCACATCCAAAGAAATAACTGTGGAGTCTGAACGCAGATTGAAGTATACTATTTTCTCCTTTTTTTTATGTTTTTCTTGTTCATGTCTTTTCCCTTTTGTTCTGATTCTTTTTTTTTTAAGTTGGGCAGTGGGATTAAGTACTTGCCCAGGGTCACACGGCTAGTAAGTGTTATGTGTCTAAGGCAGGATTTGAATTCAGGTCCTCCTAAATCCAGGACTGGTGCTCTATCCACTGCACCACCTAGCTGCCCCTCTGATTCTTCTTTTACAACATGACTAATGTGGAAATATGTTTAATATGATTGTACATGTATAGCCTATATTAGATTGCATGCCATCTTGAGGAGGGGGGGGATTTAGAACTCAGAATCTTATAAAAGTGAATGTTGAAAACTAAAAATAAATACATAAAACCTTCCATGACCACCTATTACGACCCAATGAAGTCCAAAATTAGTCAAGGACATGCACAACTTGGTACTTCTTCAACTTTCCAGTCTTGCATCACATTACACTCTTCCACGTTAGCTAAAGTTTAACAAAACTATATTATTCACTATCCATCAACTATTTGCAAAGCCTTTCCTATCTCCATGTCTTTGCTTACACAATTACTTGAAATCCCCTTTCCTTCTCCATCTTTATATTTAGAAATCCTACCCATCCTTTAAAGCCTAGCACTTACGGCATCTCCTCTAGGAAATCTTACTTAATGATTCCAGTTGAAAATGGTCTTTCCTTTCTTAGATCTCACATGATGCTTTGTGCTTCTCTTGGTTTCTCATATTCTATTCTGTATTTTTTATTATTATATAATTATTATATATTTATGTATGTACATGTATACACATATTATCCCATACACATATATGTAGATGGATAGATAGATAGACAGACAGACAGACAAAATAGATGGATGGATGGATAGCTATTTAGATACCCATCATGAGCTCCACAAAGAAGGAGA